TGTTGCCCAGGCTGGAGTGCAATGGCGCGATCTCGGCTCACCGCAACCTCCGCCTCCTCGGTTCAGGCAATTCTCCTGCCTCAGCCTCCTGAGTAGCTGGGACTACAGGCACGCACCACCATGCCCAGCTAATTTTTTGTAGTTTTAGTAGACACGGGGTTTCACCATGTTGACCAGGACAGTCTCGATCTCTTGACCTCAGGATCCACCCGCCTCGGCCTCCCAAAGTGCTGGGATTACAGGCTTGAGCCACCGCACCCGGCCCTGATTTATATTTTTAAAGACCTACTTTGGTTTACTGGGGCAAGAATAGCAGCAGAGAAAACAAATAGGAAGCTATTACAATGATCCAAGAGTAGTAACTAGCATAACTAGGTGGTAGTGAAAATGGAAAGAAGTTTTCCTGGATTCAAGATACAATTTAGAAGTTGAAATGATAGGTGTTATTTATGAATTGGATGTTGTGGGAGAGAAATCAAAAGTTCTGACTTAGATGTGTCAAATTTGAGGCCGGGCCCAGGGGCTTACTCCTGTAATCCCAGCACTTTGGGAGGCCAAGGCAGGAGCATCATCTGAGGTCAGGAGTTCGAGACAAGCCTGACTAATGTGGAGAAACCCCTCTATTAAAGGACAAAAAAGTTAGCCAGGCATGGTGGCACACGCCTGTAATCCCTGCTACTCGGGAGGCTGAGGTAGGAGAATCACTTGAACCTGGGAGGCGGAGGTTGCAGTGAGCTGAGATCGTGCCACAGCCTGGGCAACAAGAGCAAAACTCTGATTCAAAAAAAAAAAAAAAGTGTCAAATTTGTAACCTTGGTTAAACCTGCAAGTGGAGAGGCCAAATAGGCAGTTGGAAAGTGCTAGAGATGTAGATTTGGAAGTCCCATGTTCTGTATGGTCATAGCATGAAAGAAGTATAGGTGAAAGTGGGATGGGGTGGAGGCAAATATGTATACCATGAAGAATAATTTAGAATGAACCTTGATAGTTTATAATGAACTTTGTGAAGCCTTGTGAAAAATTAAAGGCTGGCCGGGCACACTGGCTCATGCCTGTAATTTCAGCACTTCGGGAGGCCAAGGTGGGTGGATAACAAGGTCGAGCGATCAAGGCCATCCTGGCCAACATGGTGAAACCCTGTCTCTACAAAAAAAAAAAAAATTAGCTGGGTGTGGTGGCATCTGCCTGTAGTCCCAGTTACTCAGGAGGCTGAGGCAGGAGAACGGCTTGAACCCGGGAGGCAGAGGTTGCAGTGAGCCAAGATCATGCCACTGCACTCCAGCCTGATGACAGAGCAAGACTCTGTCTCAAAAAAAAAAAAAAGAAAAATTAAAGGCCAAGCTAAGTAGTTCAAGAATTTCCACTCTGGAATCAAGCCCAGAATTCAGAATTAGGTATGTGATTTTTACCTTATCCATAAATTGGTTAAAAACCAAAAGGATTTTACTGAGGTCTGATGAGACACAGCCTGGGTTTAATAGAAAGACTGACTTTGGAGTCATACAGACATAGGTTAGAATTGTTACATGTTATTTACTAATTACTTCATTCATAAAATGGGAATACTATGTAATTTCTTCCACGTCGAATTGTTGTAAGAATCATAATGTTTATAAAATATTCTATCACATACTGCATACTCAAGAAATTTTAATAATGGTCCAATGTATTTGTTTGATTTTTCTCAATTCATTGTAAGAAATGGCTTGTGCCAGGTGCGGTGGCTCAAGCCTGTAATCCCAGCACTTTGGGAGGCCGAGGCGGGTGGATCACGAAGTCAAGAGATCGAGACCATCTTGGTCAACACAGTGAAACCCCGTCTCTACTAAAAATACAAAAAATTAGCTGGGCATGGTGGCACGTGCCTGTAATCCCAGCTACTCAGGAGGCTGAGGCAGGAGAATTGCCTGAACCGAGGAGGCGGAGGTTGCGGTGAGCCGAGATTGCGCCATTGCACTCCAGCCTGGTAACAAGAGCAAAACTCCGTCCCAAAAAAAAAAAAAAAAAGAAATGGCTTGCTGGCTGGGTGCAGTGGCTTACACCTGTAATCTCAGCACTTTGGAAGGCTGAGGTGGACAGATTGTGTGAGTCCAGGAGTTCAAGATCACCCTGGCCAATATGGCAAAACTCTGCCTCTACAAAATATACAAAAAAAAAAAAATGGCTGGGCACAGTGGCTCATGCCTGTAATCCCAGCACTTTGAGAGGCTGATGGGTCACCTGAGATCAGGAGTTCCGGACCAGCCTGGCCAACATGGTGAAACCCCATCTCTACTAAAAATACAAAAATTAGCTGGGCATGGTATGGACACCTGTAATTCCAACTACTCGGGAGGCTGAGGCAGGAGAATCGCTTGAACCCAGGAGGCAGAGGTTGCAGTGAGCCAAGATTGCCCCATTGCATTCCAGCCTGGGTGACAAGAGCAAAGCTCCATCTCAAAAAAAAAAAAAAAAAAATTAGCCAGGCATGGTGGTACATGCCTGTAGTCCCAGCTACTCAGGAGACTGAGGTGGGAGAATCCCCTGAGCCCAGGAAGGCAAGGCTGCTGTGAGCCGTGATCAAGCCACTTTACTCCAGCCTGGGCAATGAGAGTGAGACCTTGTCTCAAAACGAAAAGAAAGAAAATTTTGAGAGACAGCTCTTGGAAATAAGAAAAGAAATGGCTGCAATTTAAATCAGAGATACTTCTCTCTCTCTCTGTTTTTAAAAAGTCATCTTAAGTCTGTTTTCATCAAAAGTGCTAAAACAAATTGAGACCGAATCTGCCATTATAAATAACCATTGTCCCGGAATTTCATATCAGTAACTTTCAAAAGAGCAAACTGGCCGGGCGCGGTGACTCACACCTGTAATCCCAGCACTTTGGGAGGCCGACCATTCTGGTCAACATGGTGAAACCCCGTTTTTACTAAAAATACAGAAAATTAGCTGGGCATGGTGGCGCATGCCTGTAATCCCAGCTACTCAGGAGGCTGAGGCGGGAGAATTGCCTGAACCCAGGAGGCGGAGGTTATGGTGAGCCGAGATCGCGCCATTGCACTCCAGCCTGGGTAGCATGAGTGAAACTCCGTCTCAAAAAAAAAAAAAAAAAAAAGAGCAAACTGAAGGATCTGAGATTTCAAGGCTCCCATAGAAGGCTAAAAGAAGTAGTTGGGGAAATCATGTAATCTTAAATAGAAAAATGGTTTGAGGATAGGAAACAGATGAAAATAAATGGGTTTTTTTTCTGATGAAGCATGACTATGATCTGTTTTGGTGAAGGATACCATAGTTTCCATAAAGAGAAACCCTACCTTCTAGACTTAGAACTCTGAGAGGACTTGGTAGGACAGTGGAAGTAAGCTCTTTGGGAGCCAAGATTTTGTTTTTCACACTTGGCATTCCTTCTGGCACCTGGTTCTTTGCACATATTATGTGTAAGCATATGATAAATAATCATTGGTAAAATGAATTTTTGTACACTTTGGCAAGGTTTCATCCTGTAACCAGTTATGTATGTCTTAATAAAAGTTAAATTTTGAAAAGTAGATTCTAATTTGGTCATTTTAGTAATGAGATATATTTGTTTATTTTTTATTTCTTTTTTTTTTTTTGAGATGGAGGCTCACTCTGTTTCCCAGGCTGGAGAGCAGTGGCACAATCTCAGTTCACAGTAACCTCTACCTCCCAGGTTCCAGCAATTCTCCTGCCTCCGCCTCCCGAGTAGCTGGGACTACAGGCGCACACCACCATGCCCAGCTAATTTTTGTATTTTTTAGTAGAGAGAGGGTTTCCCCATACTGGCTGCTGGTCTTGAACTCCTGACTTCGTGATCCTCCCACCTTGGCCTCCCAAAGTGCTGGGATTACAGGCGTGAGCCACTGCACCCTGCCGTATATGTTTATTTTTATCATTAAATACAGGTGGTTCTAGGATCCAAAAAGATATATTTAAATACTTTTTATAAGGAAATATACTTCTATGTAAAATTCGCTTCTAAAAATGAAATTCCAGTTGAATTGATCTTTATTTAAAACATGTATATTTATAAAAACATTTGTTTTATATTTTATTATATTCATAAATTGTGTATTTTGTGAAAATAAGCAACATATTTAAGATTTCAGTAATACATGAGCCTAGTGTTTGGTTAAATTCTTTTATATTGGTTTTTTAAAAAGCTGTGCTTTAAGGCTGGGCGTGGTGGTTCACACCTGTAATCCCAGCACTTTGGGAGGCCAAGGCAGGCCCATCACTTGAGCTCAGGAGTTCAAGACCAGCCTGGCCAACATGGTGAAACCCTCTCTCTGCTAAAAATACAAAAATTAGCCAGGTGTGGTGGCCCACACCTGTAATCCCAGCTACTTGGGAGGATGAGACAGGAGAATTGTTTGAACCCAGGAGGAGGACACTGCAGTGAGATGAGATCATGCCACCGCACTCTAGCCTGGGCAACAGAGTAAGACTCCATCTCAGAGAAAAAAAAGTTATGCTTTAAATTCTATTCTAATAATTTCAGTAAAGATTATGTGCTATAGAGCAAGGAACACATTTTTTTATTAAGTTTTAGGTGATTTGATATGTAGAACAATGTTAGCAGCTGTCTGATTCCATTTTTTTTCTTTTTTTGAGACAGGGTCTCACCCTGTTACCTTGGCTGAAGTGCAGTGGCACAATCTTGGCCCACTGCAGCCTCTGCCTCCTGGGTTCAAGCAATTATTATGCCGCAGTTTTCCAAATAGCTAGGATCACAGGCATGCACCACCATGCCCTGCTAATTGTATTTTTAGTAAAGATAAGGTTTCACCATGTTGCCCAGGCTGGTCTTGAACTCCTGACCTTATCCGCCCACCTCAGCCTCCCAAAGTGCTGGGATTACAGGCATGAGCCACGATGCCTGGCCCTAATTCCAATTTATTACATTGTTTTACTTAACTATCTGGTCCTTTAAAAGAAATACATGAAGTCTGGCAGCATGAAGTCTGTAAGTTTGCATATATTAGCATGTAAATACATAAAATAATCATTTTCTATTTTGTTTTGTGAGTCTAGAAGGTCCAGCTTAAAAAATGTGTCTGACCTTTTTGTGATGGGAGGAGCTCTTGTTTTAGAATCTGCAGCCCTCTTGCACTGGCTAGAGAGGGAAGGTTATGGCCCTTTAGGAATGACTGGAATATCCATGGGAGGACACGTAAGCCTTTTTATTTCTGCTTACATTTAATTATGTTTATGTTTATAAGATCTAGAGAACCTGGTTATTTAAAAAAATTCACTTTAGGTATAGAATTAGTTTTGGCAAAAGTAGGAAGCAGAAACAGATTCCAGGCTTTCATCCAATTATGAAGCAATTATGTTAATTTTTTATATGATTTATATAGACGTTGATTGTACTACTCCACAGTTGTATTTCAGATATTAGATTTAATATTTTATTTAAAAATATAAAATTTAACTTTTCAGGTCTCAAGTATAAATGCCCAGTTTTGCTGTTACATCGGTCAAAATACCTGAATTGGAAAATACTTTCCATTTATCTATCTCCCTAGTACCACCACTAATTTTACTTTGTCTGCCTTTTAGAGTGTACTAAAATGTATTCCTAATTGCTTTCTCTGTCTCTAGTCTTTTCTCTTTTTAATCTTTTTCTTAACCATTTCTCCTCTACACCATAACTACAGTGATCTTTCTAAATCACATCTTTGTTCTGTCTTGTTCAAAACCTGCCAAAAGCTTGCATATATACTGGGCTCCAGCTGTGTCACATGCTAGCATCCCTTTAGTGCTCTCTTGTTCTCTTACAGCTAGCTTAGCTTACCCTTCTGTTTCATCTGTGACACCCAGCCTTACCTCCAGACTATACTTCAAACTCTCATTAGTAACTTTTTTACTGTACTGTACTATACTCTACTGACTTGTTTAGCAGTCTGTTTTCTCCCATGAAACAGGTGGAACATTGAGGGTCAGGAATATGCTCTGGTTTGTTACTTGGCACATACTAGTCACTCAGAACATTTTTTTAAAATTATTTTGTTTGTGTGTGGGCTCAAGTGATCCACACAGCTTAGCCTCGCAAAGTGCTGGGATTATATATGTGAGTCACTGCACTGGCCTAAAAATTAATCATACCCCAACCCAGGCAACATAGTGAGACCCTGTCTCTACAAAAAAATTGTTTAAATAATTAGCCAGGCATGGTGGCACATCTTTGTAATTGTGGCTATTCAGGAGTCTCAGGTGGGAGGATCCTTGAGCCACAGAGTTTGAGACTGCAATGAGCTGTGATTGTGCCACTGCACTCCAGATTAGATGATCCAGACAGAAACAAGATTCTATCTCAAAATAATAATAATGATAATATGAAGGTTCACTATGTCACTTGAATTAGAAAATTAAGTTCAAAAACTTAAATTCAAAACAACCACCTGACAGTGAAACAGAAGATGGAAAAGGATTTATTTTCCTATCTAGTAGTGTTTCCATTGTTATCACCTAGGACAGGTTCTTAAAACTTTCACCTGGATTACTGCCTATTAACTGGTCTTCCTACCTCAGCTCTCCCCTTCTCTACTCAATCCTGTAAACTACTATCATGTTACCTTTTTTGAATCATTGCTTTGACAATACTACTCCTTTACTCAATTCTGTTTATTAACTCCCCATTATCTATAGAACAAAGAACCTCTAATCTGATCCTGATCAATCTTTCTAGCCCTACTATCTCCCTCACTCCATGGGCCACATGTGCCTATTGACCATCCCAACTGAAGTATATTGGCTGTTTCCCTATGAGACCCTGTGCATGCTCACCTTATTGCCTTTGATCATACTGATTTCTTTCTATGGAAGACAAGACCCTATCTTTCATTCCTCTGCAAGACTCAGCCATTCAGTGAAGCCTGCCTTTCCCTTCTGATTCCTGCAGCCCAGAAGGGAAAGTAACTTTTCCAGAAGATAAAGTTCTCCCTTCTCCAAAAGAGAGAGTAAATTTTTCCTTCTCTAAACACACACATTACATCATTTTATATCTGTTATATAATCTGCTTTGTAGTTCACCAAATTCTTTGCATACTCAATCAGCCTCAATGGTCTGATGTTTTATAGTTGTGATTTTGCTGTATTTGAGCAAGTCATGAGTGTGCTTACTCTGCTGCCCAGCATCTACATCTCAGCTTCATATTTACACAGTAAAAAGTAGCTCTCAGTGAAGGGTCTTGAGGTTAAAGTTTTCTATTACATTTTGTTGCTTTTAAGGGGGAAATTAAATGTTGTTGAATTTATGATTTGGGAAGTTTAATGAGATTGCTAGGCATTCTCACTAATGTTTGCAGACTTTGTGTTTATCTAACCAACTACTTACTGCACGGAATACTTCTTAATATTAAATATTTTTTATTTTAATGAATAGAAACTCTAAACAGAAGCTCTCTATAAACTATCTGTTACATTACAGATGGCTTCCTTAGCGGTATCCAACTGGCCTAAGCCCATGCCATTGATTCCATGCCTGTCTTGGTCCACAGCATCTGGGGTCTTCACTACGGTAATTTAATTGTAATTAATATTAGGTAGCTATATATAATTAGAGATAATTGTTTTGGAAGTCCCCAAAACCACCCTCAGCTTTGGTGATTCATAGAAAGAATCATAGCGCTCAGGATATAGTCATAATCATGACTAAGGCTTAACTACAGCAAAAAAATACAACACAGTCAACAAAAGGAAAAATGCATGAGGCAGAGTCTGAAGGAAACCAAGAACAAGCTTCCAAGAGTCCTCTCCCAGTGGACTGTTACAGTTCATGCTTAATTCTTTCAGCAATAATTATTGATAATAAGTGCAAAGTGCTGTCCATCAGTGAAGCTCCCCTGAGCCTAGCAGTCCAGAGTTTTTATCAGGGGTTAGTGACTTAGATAACTTTTGCCTAGCATGCACCAAAAATTCAGAAGGAAAGCAGGTGTTCAGCAGAAACGGCATTGTTTATATAAGCAGTTTAGGCATGGTGACCCACTCGTATCATTTAGGGAAAGTTTTATGTAAGTGTAAAAAGCTATTTACTGGCCAAGTTCCCAGACTCCAGCTAAGGGCCAACCTTACAAGCAGGCTAAAGATAGACAGTCTTGGGCCAAGTGGGACGGCTCACACCTGTAATCCCAGTACTTTGGGAGGCTGAGGTGAGTGAATCACCTGAGGTCAGGAGTTCAAGACCAGCATGGACAACATGGTGAAACTCTGTCTCTACTAAAAATATAAAAATTAGCCAGGCGTGGTGGCACATGCCTGTAGTCCCAGCTACTTGGTAGGCTGAGGCAGGAGAATCACTTGAACCCAGAAGGCAGAAGTTGCAGTAAGCTGAGATGGTGCCATTGCACTCCAGCCTAGGAACAAAAGAGAATTTGTCTCTCAAAAAAAAAAAAAAAAAAAGGATGGGCAGTCTCCAGCCTGCTATGTTAACTCTTTTCTACACAGTAATAATAATAAAAGTATTGGGCAAATTGCTTATGATGTGGTTTAATCTTAATTTAGCTTATTATTTCAGGGTGTGTTGAGTAAATCAATTAATTGGAGGGAGCTGGAAAAGCAGTATTATACCCAGACAGTTTATGAAGAAGAAATTATTCACATGCTTGAATACTGTGGAGTAAGTATTTCACTTTTCACCGAACATTGGTGGTGGGGGGAGTTAATTGTATATTTAATGTTTCAGGTTTTTAAAGAGAAGCGCAAATTTTTAAAAATGTAGCTGTACATTCTATTTTTTACTTTTAAAATTTTTTCATTTTTCCCTGGGTGTGGTGGCTCACGCCTGTAATCCCAGCACCTTGGGAGGCCAAAGCAGGTTGATCACTTGAGGTCAGGAGTTCGAGACCAGCCTGGCCAACATGATGAATCCCCCATCTCTACTAAAAATACAAAAATTAGCTGCATGTGGTAGCTGGTGCCTATAATCCCAGCTACTAGGGAGGCTAAGACAGGAAAATCTCTTGAAGCTGGGAGGTGGAGGTTGCAGTGAGCCAAGATCACGCCACTGCATTCCAGCCTGGGTGATAGAGACTCTGTCTTAAAAATAAATAAATAAAACTTCATTTTAAAAATAAAATACAGAATCATGCAAAGCAAATATGTGGTGATAGAGACTCTGTCTTAAAAATAAATAAATAAAACTTTGTTTTAAAAATAAAACACAGAATCATGCAAAGCAAATATTACTACTTTTTTTAAAAGGCATTGGCTGGGCACAGTGGCTCACACCTGTAATCCCAGCACTTTGAGAGTCTGAGACGGGCATATCACAAGGTCAGGAGTTCAAGACCAGCCTGACCATCATGGTGAAACCTCTGTCTCTACTAAAAATACAAAAAACTGGCTAGGTGTAGTGGCAGGCACCTGTAATCCCAGCTACTTGGGAGGTTGAGGCAAAAGAATCCCTGAACCCAGGAGGTGAAGGTTGCAGTGAACTGAGATTGTGCCACTGTATTCTAACCCCGGGTGACAGAGTGAGACTCCATCCCAAAAAAAAAAAACAAAAACAAAAACAAAAAAAAAACGGGGGGCAAACACACTGTGTATTATGTTTTTGTTGAGACAGAATCTGGCTCAGTCACCTTCTATGTCAGCCTCCTGAGTAGCTGGGGTTATAGGCATGCACCACCAACCTGGCTAATTTTTGTATTTTTTGTAGAGATGGAATTTCACAGTGTTGTCCAGGCTTGTCTCAAACTCCTGGGCTAAAGCAATCTGCCTGCCTCAGCCTCCCAGAATGCTGGGATTACAGGTATGAGCCACTATGCCCAGCCTCACTTCTCTTGTTTATGGACCATACACAAGTGTTTCCTTGTTATTTTTTACTGCTACATGATGTAGTCTATTAAGTGAATTCATGTACCATAATTTATTAATCAGTACCCTGTTGATAGATGTTTACGTTGTTTCTCATCTTTCACTATTTTTTTTTTTTTTTTTTTTTTTGAGACGGAGTTTCACTCATGTTACCCAGGCTGGAGTGCAATGGCGCAATCTCGGCTCACCGCAACCTCTGCCTCCTGGGTTCAGGCAATTCTACTGCCTCAGCCTCCTGAGTAGCTGGGATTACAGGCACGTGCCACCATGCCCAGCTGATTTTTTGTATTTTTAGTAGAGATGGGGTTTCACCGTGTTGACCAGGTTGGTCTCGATCTCTTGACCTCGTGATCCACCCGCCTTGGCCTCCCAAAGTGCTGGGATTACAGGTTTGAGCCACCGCACCCGGCCCATCTTTCACTATTAATAAACAGTGCTGCAGTGAGTAACTTTGTATATTCATGTTTGGTTACCTGGTTACCTATTCTATGATTATTTACACAAATACTTACATGTTGTGTAAACATAAATTCCTAGAAACATGATTGCTAGCTGGGCGCGGTGGCTCACGCCTGTAATCCCAGCACTTTGGGAGGCTGAGGCGGGTAGATCACGAGGTCAAGAGATCGAGACCATCCTGGTCAACACGGTGAAACCCCGTCTCTACTAAAAATACAAAAAATCAGCTGGGCATGGTGGCACATGCCTGTAATCCCAGCTACTCAGGAGGCTGAGGCAGGAGAATTGCCTGAACCCAGGAGGCGGAGGTTATGGTGAGCCAAGATCGCGCCATTGCACTCCAGCCTGGGTAACAAGAGCGAAACTCTGTCTCAAAAAAAAAAAAAAAAAAAAAAAAGAAATATGATTGCTGAGTCAAGGGTATAGTAATGTAGTTAGATTTTGTCTAATTCTAGCTGTGTCAGTTTACACCACCAGCAGGAATGTGTCTTTCTCCATAAGTTCACAAATTCAGTTTGTTGTCAAACTTGTTTTTATTTTTTGTCAACCAACACTGGAAAATGGTATAGTTTTAAGTAACTTTAAGTATGAGGGAAATTGAGCAAGTTTTTATAAGTTTAAGAACAGTTTGTATTTTTGTATTTTGTTTTCTGTTTATGTGTATATCCTTTGCTCATTTTGGGGGTTCTAGGCTTTTAAAACATTATTCAATTCCAGCTCTTAATAAATTAAAGTTATTTGCCATTTGTAATGTGAGTTGTAAATATATTTTCCCAGGCTGTCATTTTTTCTTTTGACTTGCCTGTTACTATATAACAAAGTTTATTTTTACATAAATTATATTGTACAATCATGCTCTGGATAACAATGTTTCAGTCAATGACAAACCATATATACAAGGTGGTCCAAAGATTGTAATACCATATTTTTACTATACCTTTTTCTTTTTGTTTTTGAGATGGAGTCTTGCTCTGTCTCCCAGACTGGAGTGCAGTGGCACGATCTCTACTCATTGTAACCTCTGCCTCCTGGGTTCAAATGATTCTCCTGCCTCAGCCTCCCAAGTAGCTGGGATTTCAGGCGCCCCCCACCATACCTGGCTAATTTTTATATTTTGATAGAGTTGCAGTTTCACCATGTTGGTCAGGCTAGTCTTGAACTCCTCACGTCAAGCGATCAACCCCACCTCGGCCTCCCAAAGTGCTGGGATTACAGGCATGAACCACCATGCCTGGCCTACTGTATCTTTTCTATGATTAGATACACAAATACTTATAATTATGTTACAGTTACCTACAATATTAAGTACAGTCACATGCGGTACAGGTTTGTAACCCAGGAGCAATAGATTATACCATATAGCTTAGGTGTGTAGTTGGCTTATACCATCTAGGTTTATGTAAATACACTGTGATGTTCACACAACAATGTGACAACCTAAAGATGCATTTCTCAGAACATATTTTGTCATTAAGCAACACGTAACTGTATTTACAACTTAAAATATAGTTTTGAGACTTTAATAGGCAATATTTCTTTTTTTCCTTGATAATTTTTAATTCTTGTTAGTTCAACCAGAGAAAGGGATTTGGGACAGCTGGTGTCCTCTTGTGCTTGAATTTACATTACTCGGTTGCAAGACTTTTAGAAGTTCAACGGTTAAGGCAGATCATGGATTTCAAAACTTTGACTATAAGAAAAAAAAAAGATACAGGCTAAATGCTAAATGATACCCTTTACTATTTAATAGGAAACAGCAATAAAGTGTAAATCATTTATCTTAGTCCTGAGTTAAGTTTTGACACCTCTTTATTTTTTTCAAAAATTACGGTAAATATATACAATATAAAATTGTCTATTGTAACCATTTTTAAGTGTATAGTTCAGTGGCATTAAGTATTTTCACATTGTGCAACTATCACCACCATCTATCTTCAAAATTTTTTCATCTTCTCAAACTGAAACTTACCCATTGATCAAAACTACTCATTCTTCCCTTCTCCCAGTCCCTGACAACTGCCATTCTCTTTCTGCTGCTATGACTCTTACTACTGTAGGGACTTCATACAAGTGGAATCATACAGTATTTGTCCTATGTCTTCAGTGTTCATCCATGTTAGTAGCATGCATCAGAATTTCATTCCTTTTAAGACTGAATAATATTTCATTGTTTGCATATACCACATTTTGTTTATCCATTTATTCATTGATGGACATTTGTTTTTTCTCTTTAACAAAGTTGTTAATAAAACCCTATTTTATATTAAATAATGTTTTCTTTCCTTTCATATATTCAGACAGATTCTTTCAAAATGGGACAAGAGTTTGTGAAACACTTCGCTAGCAGTGCAGACAAGCTAACTAACCTTAATCTGGTTTCCAGAACTTTAAATTTAGATATAACAAACCAAGTTGTATCCCAAAAACCTGCTGACTGCCATAATTCTAGTAAAACATGTGTTAGTGCCACATCAGAAAGACTCTTACTGCAAGATACCTCTAAGATTGAGTGCTTCAATCAAACACTTTCAACCAGCAAAAGTAGTTACACAAGTTGCAACCCTCAGTCATACCACCTTCTTAGTAAAGAACAAAGAAGAACCAATCTTCGGAAAGAACCTTTAATATTTATGAAAGGAGTCATGGATGAATGTACTCACGTAGCAAATTTCTCAGGTACTAATTTTTATATGAAATTGAGAGCATTTGCTAATGTGTAAATATTTCTGAAATCTTTTAAAGAATACTTTATAAGATAATTTTATATTTTCAAAGGTATTTTTTTGTTGGCTCCAGAATGTGTGTGCAAAGATAAGTTGGTTACTTAAATGTATGTTACATATTCTAGCTATGAAAATTTAAGACTATCTTATTCATTAAAAAACACATGGGATAGCCAGTTGTGGTGGCTCATGTCTGTAATCCCAGCATTTTGGGAGGCTGAGGCAGGTGGATTGCTTGAGCCCAGGAGTTCAAGACCAGCCTGGGTAACATGGTGAAACCTTGTCTCTACCAAAAAAAATACGAAACTAGTTATGTGTGGTGGTGCATACCTGTAGTTCCAGCTGCTTGGAAGACTGAAGTGGAAAGATGGCTTCAGCCCAAGTAAACAGTTTGCAGTGAGCCAAGATCACACCACTTGACCGAGTGAGACTCTTTCTCAAACACATAATCTCTCTCTCTCTCTCGCTGAGCACAGTAGCTCACACCTGTAATCCTATCGTTTTGGGAGGCTGCGGTGGGAGGATCGCTTGAGCCCAGGAGTTCAACACCAGCCCAGGCAACATAGTGAGACCCTGTCCCTACAAAAAAATCTAAAAATTAGCTAGATGGCCAATCCTGTAATTACAGAATTACACACCTGTAATCCCAGCACTTTGGCTGAGGTGGGTGGATCGCTTGAGGTCAGCTGTTTGAGACTAAGCCTGGCCAACATGGTGAAACCCCGTCTCTACCAAAAATATAAAAAATTAGCTGGGTATAATGGTATGTGCCTCCAATCTCAGCTACTCAGGAGGCTGAGGCAGGACAATCCCTTGAACCCAGGAGATGGAGGTTGCAGTGAGCAGAGATCATGCTACTGCACTCCAGCCTGGGTGACAGAGTGAGACTCCATCTCAAAAAAAAAACTAGTTGGGTACGGTGGCACATGCCTATAGTCCCAGCTACTTAGAGGCTGAGGCAGGAGGATCCCTTGAGTCTGGGAATTCAAGGTGACAGTGAGCTATGATTGCACCACTGCACCCTAGCCTCTGTGACAAAGTGAGACTCTTGTCTCCAAAACAAAAAAATCACACTGGATTGCTGAGTGTGATGGCATTCACCTGTAGTCCCAGCTACTCGGGAAGTTAAGGAGGGAGAATCACTTGAACCCAAGAGTTCAAGACTGTAGTGTATTATGATCATGCCGGTGAATAGCTACTGCACTTCAGCCTTGGCAACATAGTGAGATCCCATCTTTAAATAAATTATTGAGGCAATGCATACCCTATGTACCCTGATGTGATTATTACGCATTCCATGCCTATATCAACATATGTAACCCATAAATATATATACCTACTGTGTACCCACACACACACAAAAGAAATTAATTAATTTTTAAAAACCACAGTGGATATTGTATCATCTGTAGAATATTTATCTCATTATACTGGAGATGAGTAATGTGGCACATTATAGTTGATTTTTAACTTAATCAAAAATTTTTAGTTTGACAAATGTTTCATTTACTGCATTGTGTGGTGTTTTTTATTTTCTAATGTGTATATGTTGAATTTTTTTAAAATCCTATACCTAGTTCCAGTTGACCCAAGCCTCATTATAGTGGTTCAAGCCAAGGAAGATGCCTATATTCCACGAACAGGAGTTCGAAGTTTACAAGAAATTTGGCCTGGTTGTGAAATCCGATACCTAGAAGGGGGTCATATTAGTGCTTATCTTTTTAAACAAGGACTCTTCAGGTAAGATGACTAAACAGGTATTTGTTCATCTGTTGCTTGTTTTCTGGATTTCTTGCTTCAACAAATAGATTAGATATTTTTATTGTCTGTTTCAATCTTCGAATTTCCTCCTCACCTCCCACAAATCTCACATTGAGTTATTTTTTTCTCTTTCCTAGAATTTCATCCTCTTATATTTTCTTTTTCTCCTAGAGAACTAGACATGATGCTTATCATAGGCATTCTTTATCTTGTGGTTTTACCCTCTTCAAATATTAATGGCCAGGCATTTTAGGATGTGAGAAGGATGAACATGGCTTGTTAAAGTTGCTTTGGTGCATCAAGAGGTTTTTCACTCTATTCTGATGTTCTCTCAGAATGGCCTGAACATCCATGGGATAATTTAGCAATGTTTTTCAGTTAGCAAGTGAATATTGAACTTTAAATGAGAAGTGGTTTTAATGTTAACCTTATATGATTCCACTATTTTAGTTAGAACTTATAAAAAACTTTTATGCCAAAACTATAATTTTCTGGTATTCTGCATTATTGGGACATATTTATGTGTTATTAATGGTTAAATAAATTAGTTCACATAAGTGCTTAGATCAGTTCCTGTACATAAGTGTTCCAAAAAAACTGCCAACTACATAGCTGTATAATAGAGGGGTTGTATGTGATATGTTTGACATGTTTTAGCTCTTGTTAACGTAAGAAATAATTTTTGTATGTTGTTACTTTTCTTTTTTTTTTTTGGGGACGGAGTTTCGCTCTTGTTACCCAGGCTGGAGTGCAATGGCGCGATCTTGGCTCACCGCAACCTCCACCTCCTGGGTTCAGGCAATTCTCCTGCCTCAGCCCCCTGAGTAGCTGGGATTACAAGCACGTGCCACCATGCCCAGCTAATTTTTTGTATTTTTAGTAGAGACGGGGTTTCACCGTGTTGACCAGGATGGTCTCGATCTCTTGACCTCGTGATTCACCCGCCTCGGCCTCCCAAAGTGCTGGGATTACAGGCTTGAGCCACCGCGCCTGGCCTTACTTTTCTAGCTCAACTTATAAATGTCACCTTTTTGAGAAATAGACCAATTCTAAAAGTCTGTCATGTCTTGAAGGATATAGTAAGCCTTTCTTTTTTTTTTTTTGAGGCGGAGTTTCACTCTTGTTGCCTAGGCTGGAGTGCAATGGCATGATCAGCTCACCGAAACCTCTGCCTCCCAGGTTTAAGCGATTCTTCTGCCTCAGCGTCCTGAGTATCTAGGATTACAGGCATGCACTACCACGCCCAGCTAATTTTGCACTTTTAGTAGGCATGGGGTTTCTCCACATTGGTCAGGCTGGTCTTGAACTCCTGACCTCAGGTGATCCACCTGCCCTGACCTCCCAAAGTACTGGGATTACAGGCGTGAGCTACCTCCCCTGGCCAAACCTTTCTTTTAATACTGTGGTATTTAATAAAGTATGTATTCAGCATTTGAGACCCTATTGGTGAATGAGCAGACTATCCAATACTCATTGACCCTCTGGCATAACAAAACTTAAACAAATAAACAAAAACCTGTGACTACCTAGGGTTGCTAGGGTTGCTTAAGAAGAGTCTAAAGTTCTATTATACATGTGAATACAGAGGACCCACGTGCTTGCATTAGTAAATTAGTATAAAATTTCTTTCACTCTTTTGTGTACTTAAGTCAGAGTATAGTTAAGAAGTATTAGGATGAGATTTATAATCAAAGTCAGATATAAAAACTCAAAAGTGCTATTATGAAGGCTTCATTTGAGAGAGATAAATATTAACTATTATCATGTGCCAGATGCCAGGGCAATTGCTCTGTTATTATCCCCTTTACACAGAATAAAGGGAACAAAAAAGATTAAGAAACTTGCTCATGTGGAGTCACTACTAAGCTATTTGGCCTCTTCCATTCCCCATCAGTCACTTCAAAACTTAACAGATTGTTTCTTATGATCCGTGTTTGAAGAAAAAAAAAAAATTAACAGAGTTTAGATGACATTGGAATAGTAGAATTCTTAAAAATTCAGTCTTTTCACACACCAAACATAAAAATAAAAGAAGCCAACAGGCATGGTGGCTCATGCCTGTAATTCCAGCACTTTGGGAGGCCAAGGTGAGTGGATCACAAGGTCAGAAGTTCGAGACAAGCCTGGCCAATATGGTGAAACCCCAACTATGCTAAAAATACAAAAATTATCTGGGTGTGGTGGCAAGTGCCTGTAGTCCCACCTACTTGGGAGGCTGAGGCAGGAGAATTGCTTGAACCTGGGAGGTGGAGGTTGCAGTGAGCTGAGATCACACCACTGCACTCCAGCCTTGGCAACAGAGCAAGACTCCGCCTCAGTCAGTCAATCAATAAAGCCATTCCTTTATGTGCTCTAATATTTTGTGTTATTTAGAGCTTATTGATAATACAAGTGAATAAGAGACTATTCAAATGATTAAAAAGGGACATGTACTCTTCCTAACCCTTCTATTATGTATACAAGCCCAGATTGTAACTTTGGGCACCAGAAAGTAAACAAAGTCAGATTCATTCCACAAGAGCAAGTGCCTGGAACTGAGGAAAAAAATTAGCCAGTGGTCAATAATTTCAGAGGTTTCTTTACTTCTCACCTACAGCTGTCATATCTGTCTTCAAACAAAATCTCCTTATGTGTTTACACCAACATGCAAATATCCACCTCTAATTTTTTTCCCTTCTTAGGGATTCAGTATAATTCACAAGGAACAAATCCTTGAGCTAAAGAAAGACAAGCATGTTGGAAAACTATGCCTTCCCAATGTGCTGGAAACAATATTAGCAAGCTATCAGTTTTAAAGATAATCTTAGTGTCTTTGTTAGGATGTGAGTAAATGCTTAGTTGAACAAGTGGGATACAAAATTAACATTTCATAGTTATTTAAACTGGGTGAGAATTATAGACATGCTTTTTTTCTTTTTTTTTCTTTTTTTTTTTTTTTTGAGCCAGAGTCTCACTCTGTCACCCAGGCTGGAGTACAGTGATGCAGTCTCAGCTCACTGCATCCTCTGCCTCCCAGGTTCAAGCAATTCTCCTGCCTCAGCCTCCCAAGTAGTTGGGATTACAGACATGCACCATCACACCCAGCCAATTTTTGTATTTTTAGTAGGGATGGGGTCTCACCATTTGGCCAGGCTAGTCTCGAACTCCTGACCTTGTGATCCAGCCACCTCCGCCATCCAAAGTGCTGGGATTACAGGTGTGAGCCCACCCACCGCACCTGGTCTAGATACGCATTTTCTTAAAAACCTGGCGGAAAGATATGAAAAGATTAACAGTAGATGCAAGTGATGGGATTATGTTTTCCCCATCCTATATTTTAGATTTTCTGAATATTCTGCTATGAAAATGTATTATACAATAGAAAAAAAACAGCTTTAGAAGCCAGGAACAGTGACTCATGCGTGTACTCCCAGCGCTTTGGAAGGCTGAGGTGGGTGGATCAACTGAGGTCAGGAGTTCAAGACCAGCCTGGCCAACATGATGAAACCCTGTCTCTACTAAAAATACAAAAATTAGCTGGGTGCAGTGACAGGCACGTGTAATCCCAGCTACTCAGGAGGCTGTGGCAGGAGAATTACTTGAACAGAGAAGCAGAGGTTGCAGTGAGCAGAGACCATGCCACTGCACTCCAGCCTGGGTGACACAGCAAGACGCTGTCTCAAAAGAAAAAGAAAAAAGGTACATGGATTCAAACACCCCTTTTGGGGAGGATAACTGCCTATTTCATAGCGATTTAGAGAGGAGGTCATGTTGCAAGTCCCAGATAAATTTGGAAATAACTTACAGTAAAGACATTGTCTGTCCCCCCTTTTTGCTAGTTACTTAGAGTTTTTCTTTCATATTTAATTTTAGACAAGCCATCTATGATGCATTTGAACGCTTTCTACATAAATACGCTAACTAATTGGATCATTATATGTAACCAGTGTGGCCACGATGTTTCTTACAAAAGGAAGCTTCATCCTATGATGATGTGAAGGACAAGCAGACAGCACTAATATATCTAATTGCTATCAATGTAGTCTGGAATTCATTGTTAAAGATCAGTTAACGATAAACTTTGAATACATTTGAATAATTTGAAAACAATATTTGAAGTAAATAATGTTAAGGTATTTTTATTATTGTTTATTGGAATCCTACATACTCAATATTTAGTCTGTTGTTACTATTTATAAAAACTAAATTTTAAATCATGAATAATTTAATTTAAATAAATTTATTCATAGAAACCCTTCTGGTTTTTAATAAAATTGCTAAATCAAACCAAGATTTTAATATATCAGCATTTACCTTGTACCCTTATATTATAACATTTCACTATTGACTTGATTTGAGAAACATGTTTATTTCTTTTTTGAATGTATGGTGAATTCACAGTCTTGTGTTCAACTTCAGCCAATTTTCTGCTGTGGAAATAAATACTTAATGATGTATAAAATCAGTGTTAACTTTCAATTCTAAAGTATCCTGCCGAGCTCACACCATTGCACTCCATCCTGGGCAACAAGAGCAAAACTCCATCTCAAAAAATAATAATAATGATCAAAGTGAATGTTCTGCAGATAAAAACATTAGACTTTGCTAGAGTTTAAAACTTTACCAAAAATTTGCGTTTTTAAAAAATGCCAATAGGCTGGGCGCGGTTGCTCAAGCCTGTAATCCCAGCACATTGGGAGGCCAAGGAAGTGGATCACTAGGTCAGGAGTTTGAGACCATCCTGGCCAATGTGATGAAACCCATCTCTACTAGAAGTACAAAAATTAGCCGGGTGTGGTGGCTCACACCCGTAATCTCAGCACTTTGAGAAGCTGAGGCGGGCGGATCACTTGAGGTCAGGAGTTCAAGATCAGCGAGGCCAACATGGTGAAACCTCATCTCTACTAAAAGTACAAAAAAATTAACCAGGCATTGTGGTGTGTGCCTGTAATCTCAGCTACTCAGGAGGCTGAGGCAGGAGAATTGCTTGAACCTGGGAGGTAGAGATTGCAGTGAGCCTTGATCGTGCCACTGCAGTCCAGCCTGGGCAACAGAGCAAGACTCCATCTCAAAAAAAAAAAAAAATTAGCCAGGCATGGTGGCCGGGGCCTATAATCCCAGCTACACAGCAACTGAGACAGGAGAATTGCTTGAACCCAGAAGGCAGAAGTTGCAGTGAAGCCGAGATCGTGCCACTGCACTCCAGCTTGGGAGACAGAACAAGACTCTGTCTCAAACAAAACAAAACAAAATGCCAAACTTATTTTCCCCTACTAAAAAAGTTTTAATGCACAAAAAATGGAAACATTGGAAGACCTGTTGCATTAACTGATGGATACTGTGTTTGACATATCTTTTTTTTTTTTTTTTTTTAATTTTAGTAGAGATGGGATTTCATCATGTTGGCCAGGCTGGTCTTGAACTCCTGACCTCAAGTGATCCAACTGTTTCAGCTTCCCAAAGTATTGGGATTATAGGCATGAGCTACCACACCTGGCCTGAAGTTTTCTTTTCATTTTTTAAATTATTTTTTTATATGCATATTCTTTGGATTGCGAACCATCTAACTATCCAAAGACTTAACAGCTTTGGCTTTTTAATTTCAGAATTTAATAGACACATATGTAATTGATTTGCCCCATATAAACTTTATTTTACAGAAAATAAAGTTTTATGTAACAGCTATTAACTCTTTTTTGGGGAGTTATATGGCTAGATTTGGTGCTTTCTTTTTATGTTAAACTTCTCTAGCTGACAACTAAAATGTTAAAAAGTAGAAAATATTTTGGGGTATTGTGTGAAGTTTTACAATAGGTATATTTGAGTTTTGTTTGAAATCTGTATTGTCTGTGAATTTTTTTTTTTTTTTTTTTTTTTTTTTTTTGAGACGGAGTTTCGCTCTTGTTACCCACACTGGAGTGCAATGGCGCGATTCTCGGCTCACCGCAACCTCCGCCTCCTGGGTTCAGGCAATTCTCCTGCCTCAGCCTCCTGAGTAGCTGGGATTACAGGCACACACCACCATGCCCAGCTAATTTTTTGTATTTTTAGTAGAGACGGGGTTTCACCATGTTGGCCAGGATGGTCTCGATCTCTTGACCTCGTGATCCACCCGCCTCGGCCTCCCAAAGTGCTGGGATTACAGGCTTGAGCCACCGCGCCCGGCCCTGTGAATTATTTTTAAATAGATAATCTTAGCTTAGTAAAGATATTTGAATTATTATGTGCCTTTGCAGTCTTTTTAAAGGAGATTTCATTTGTTACTCTAATGGCTCTATCTTGATTTTTTTACAAACATTTAAAAATGATTAATGTGAAGTTATTGATGGTAGACAAAGTAGTAACTTCTTTCAAATTACTTTGGCACAACAAGCCAACACTGTACATCTCTTTGAGCTATAAGCAGTTCTACATGTTCGGAAGAAAACCTTTAGTTGTAACTGAAAGTACAAAATCTACTAAAGTTCTTCCACAAAATACTCTTTAAACTTGTTAACTGAATTACAATTTTCTTACATATATAGTGAGGTTATATGATTGAATGCTTTTTGAACAATGATTTTAGTAAAACCAATACTTTATTATTGTTCACATAAATACTTCTTACTAAGCAATAATGTACTATGGTATAGTAAAAAAAAATGAAATTTTGTTGGTAAAAAAATGAAATTTTGATTTGGTTTTAATTAACTCTTAGGCATAACTAATTTTTCCCAAATAAAGTGTGAAAGAAGGTATTTTTAAAATTTCATCTCTTAACCAGATGTTTAAGAATATATCCCTAAAACTACCTCAATTAATAAATTTGAAGTGCAAAATACCTTTTCTTAGAATTTTTTAATATATTCCCCCAAAATGGTAGCGTAAGTGGTCTCATATATAATCTCCAAGAAGTGCAGTCTGCCATTGTCTGCCATTTTGAGGATTAGGTACTACATAAAATGTTAGAAATTTATTTAGACCAGAGTTGTAAACTGGTAGTTCACATAGGCCATTTTGACTAACAGTTGTTTTATTTGATGTACGTAATGTTTCAAAAATTTTTGAATTTGAAAAGTCTTTCAGTTGGGCATGCACTCCCAGTTTGCCACAGCCTACTGGACTTCCCTCTTATACCAGGCAACTTCTCTACTTTGTAGTTCCTCCTTAGCCCTGAAGACCTCTTAAGTTTGAGACCCCTGATTTAGATCTGTAATTAGAAGAAGCTTCTGAATTTCATGATTTGTTAATGTCATTATTGTTAAGTCATTTTAGCATGTGCATTGTAGATTGCGTCTTTGAATGTATTTTTTAATGTGGTGCTTTCTCTCATAAAGATCATTGAATTGTTAACACTGTAATTGAAATTTTAAAAATCATTTCCAAATATTTTATATTTCACAATAAAAGTCTGTTTAAAAAGCTAACCATTTGTGCTTTTTTTCAAGAGGTATTATTGTAAATACAGTAGACAAATGTCACATTTGATTAATATACCCAAACTTGAACTTAATGTATATGTTCCCTGTTATTATGTCCTAAACAAGGTAAGACAGAAATAAGCAAGGGACGCTGTAGAAGAACAGTATCAGTATCTCTATAAAAATGACCAAATTTTTCCCCTGATATGTGTGATCTGAGGGAAATACACATTCTGACAGACCATAGTTATCTCAATGTTGATCAGTATTGAATGTGATTACATTTACACTCGTAAATAAATATACTGCAAACAAAATCTAGAGATTTGGTTAGACTGGGAATGGGAGTCTTGGGTAGAGTCTCCTATACATTAATAATAGTAACTGGGTTTGGAAATATGAGGAAAGATTATGGTAAATAAAGGAGAAAAAGGTCATTATTTGGCCACTTTGCAGTAAGATAACCTAATCTGGGAATATTCTTATAGGCAGAATCCTAGGAAAACAATGCTGATATGAATTATAAGCCAGGAATTGAATGGGCTAGCACCTGGATTGTGGACTCCCCAGATCCAGAACTGTGAGAAATAAATATCTGTGTCTAAGCCGCCAAATTATGGTATTCTTTTATAGTAGCCCAAGCAAACTAAGATAACAGGTCCTGTGAGCAACCATTAAATAAGGGTACAAAACAGCACTGTTCAATACAATTTTATACAATGACAGAAAGGTACTCCATCTACTCAATACAGTAGTCATTAGTCACATGTGGCTATTGATCATGTGAAATGAGGCAATCATAACTGAGGTACTGAAGTTTTGTTTTTTGTTTTTTGAGACAGAGTTTTGCTTCTGATGCCCAGGCTGGAGTGCAATGGCGTGATACCGACTTACTGCAACCTCTGCCTTCCAGGTTCAAGCGATTCTCCTGCCTGAGCCTCCCAAGTAGCTGGGCTTACAGGTGTGCACCACCATTTCCGGCTAATTTTGTATTTTGTTAGTAGAGACGGGGTTTTTTTCATGTTGGTCAGGCTGATCTCAAACTCCTGACGTAACGTGATCCACCCACCTTGGAATCCCAAAGTGCTGGGGTTATAGGCGTGAGCCACTGTGCCCAGCCCAAAATTTTTATTTTATTTAAATTCAGTTGTAAAACTTAATGTAAATAGCCACATGTAACTAGTAACTATTAGATAGCGCCGATATAAAAAAATCTAAAAAGTGGCCGAGCACAGTGGCTCATGCCCAGCAATTTGGGAGACCGCGGTGGCTGGAGCACTTGAGGTCAGGAGTTCAAGACCAGCCTGGCCAACATGATGAAACCCCATCTCTACTAAAAATACAAAAGTTAGCTGGGCATGGTGGCAGATGCCTGTAATCCCAGCTATTCAAGAGGCTGAGGCAAGAAAATTGCTTGAACCCAGGAGGTGGAGGTTTCAGTGAGCCAAGATCGTGTCACTGTACTCCAGCCTAGGCAACAGTCCAGAACTCCATCTCAAAAAGATTAAAAGCAAAAAAATTAGGCATAGCAGGGCACAGTCATGTGTGCCTGTACTGCCAGCTACTCAAGAGGCTGAGGCAGGAGGATCACTTGCACCCAGGAGTTCAAGGCTGCAGTGAGCTGTGGTTGTACTACAGAATTTTAGCCTGGGTGACAGAGCAAGGCCCTGTCTCTAAAAAATAAAAATAACTGGGTGCGGTGGTTCATGCCTGTAATCCTAGCACTCTGGGAAGCCTAGGCAGGTGAATCCCGAGGTTGGGAGTTCAAGACCAGCCTGACCAACATGGTGAAACTTCATCTCTACTAAAAATACAAAAATTAGCCAGGCATAGTGGCACCCACCTGTAATCCCAGCTACTCCGAGCCTGAGGCAGTAGAATCGCTTGAACCCAGGAGGCAGAGGTTTCAGTGAGCCAAGATGGCACCAATGCACTCCAACCTGGGTGACAGAGCAAGACTCCGTCTCTAAATAATAAAATAAACTGATGTTGACTAAAAAATTTATAGATGCATCAAAACTTGACAAAGTTTAGCTCTGTAAATTTGACCTACAAAAATCAGGTA